ATGTATCTCCTGAAGACAGCATATGGTTGGGGTTTTTTATTCAATCTGCTACTCTGTGACTTTTATTAGTGAGTTCAGTTCATTTACGTTTAGGGTGATTGTTGATGTATGAGGATTTCCTATAGGCATTTTATCCTTTGTTTTCTAGTATCTCTGTGTCTCCATTGTTTCTTTTCCCTTGTGTTCCTCTCTGTTGTTTTAGTTTGGTGGTATTCTGTATTTTTTTCTTCTATTTCTCTTTCTTTTAAATTATGTGTCTCAGTTTTTGATTTGTGTGTGTGTGTTTAGTTATCATTAGGCTTATGCAAAAGAAAATTTCACAAATACAGTAGTCCTTTCTCTTCTGAATGCATCTTATTTCCATTTCCCTTTGCAAGTTCAGACCTTGCTCCACCACTTTTCTGTTTTTGTTTTCAGAAATTATCCGTATTTATGCTGTGAGTACATTTCCAAATTGCAGTAGCTGTTGGCTTCTTCTTCTCTTTTTAATGTATTTACCTCCTTTAATTTTTATGTGATATTTAAGTGTATATTACCCTATTCAGAAAAAGGATTGTAATATCCTCCTTCTGAAAAATAATATGGGATACTTCATGAATTTGCATGTCATTCTAGCATGGGGGCCATGCTAATCTTCTCTCTGTCATTCCAATTTTAGTGTATGTGCTGCTGAAGCAAGCACAGGACTTTTTGAGTTGACTCTATCGGCATCTGTCAGGAAAGCCTTGTTTACCACCTCCTAGCAGAAAGTAGAATATTCCCTTAATGCTTCCACTTAACTGCCTCTTTTTTTCCTCTCTCTCTTTCTCTTCAAAGGTTGCATTACCTAAAAAATGAACTGGTCTGTCATATACTTTTCCCCCTTCGATTTCCAGTTCTTGCTTTATATCTACACCCAATTTAGTGTTTTAAGATTCACATGCACCTTGAACATCTGCATTCTTATTTCCTCAAATGTTACCCTTCTCTAATTTAGTGAAAATTGGGTGTGGAGTAAGGAAATGTTTTTCTTACCTCCTAATTGTTCACCTAGTGCTATTTCTCAACTGACCCTAGCCATCCTCAATTGTGTTGGGGCTTGTTGCTGGTTATTTTCAAGAATTTTTGGATTTAGTCCTCTTGATAGAATGCTGTACAGTCTGTATGTGTGGCAGCAGAAGTGTAAACGTCTGGCAGGTCCACCATCCTTCAGGATTCCATCACACAAGGCTGTTGGGTATATCATACTTTATTGAAAGATTTTCCAGTGGGTAGTAAGCCTTTAGTATCTAGAGTAGAATAAATCATTTTTTATGGAATTGTTCCATGCATTGTATGACGTTTAGCATCCCTGGTCCTAGGGAGCTAAAATCTGGTAGTCCACCCAATTTTTGTGAAAGTCAAACTCTTCCACCAATTCTCAGCCCTCCTGGGGACGGGGAAATGTCCCTGGTTGAGAACTACTGGATTAGAATTAAAGGAAACTATTTAAAAACAGAAAAAGTGTGTAAAGTTAAATGACAACTATGTGCTTTCCTGTGGTCTAAGGGAGAACTTACAGAGTTAAATGAATCCCTTTAAAGACCTTCCTAGTTTCTAACCTGGCCCCCTTGTCCTCAAGCCTTTGCCTATCTATAAAATCCTTTCCTCCAGAAAACCACATTGCCCTACCAGCAGAGGTTCTAGTCCATAAAGGTAGCCACTAGTTTCATGTGTCTGTTGAAAACTGAAAACGTGACTTGTCCAAACTGAGATACACTTAGTACAAAAAGGAATATTAAATATTCTAATAATTTTATATTGATACATGTTGAAATAATATTTTTGATATGTTCAGTTAAATAAAATATTGAAATTCCGTTTTTTTTAATGTGACTACTAGAAAATTTAAAATTACATATACAGCTTATGTTTTATTTCTAGTGGACAGTGCTGATAAATTATGTCTTAGTCCGGAGGGCCTTAGGGGTTCAGTCTGGTTGAACAAAGGAGCTTAAAGCTACACTTACATTGTATAGTACATAAGATTAAGGAAACATCCTCAATATCAAAGCCCTGGCAGGAATTATTTTTTATTGTGGTAAAATATACATAATATAAAATTTATCATTTTAACCATTTTTAAGTATACAGACTTTAAGTATATTCACATTATTATGCAGCCATCATCCATCTCCAGAACTTTTTATCTTCTCCAACTGAAATTCTGTACCCATTAAATATTAGCTCCCTATATACCCTCGCTCACTCCAGTCCCTGGCGACCACCACTGTATTTTCTGTTGTTATGAATTTGACTACTCCAGGTACCTCATATAAGTGGAATCACACAGTATCTCTCCTTTTGTGACTGGCTTGTGTTATTTAGCAGAATGTTTTCAAAGTTCATCCATATTGTAGCATGTGTTAGAATTTCCTTTGTAAGGCTCTGGATAATATTCTATTGTATGTGTATGCCACATTTTGTTTATCTATTCAACTGTGAATTGACACTTGAGTTGCTTACACCTTTTGGCTGTTGTGAATAATGCTGGTTTGAACATGACTATACAAACATTTGTTTGAGCCTTGCTTTAACTTCTTTTGGGTATACTCCCAGGAGCAGAAGTGCTGGATCGTATGGTAATCCTAAGTAATTTTTTGAAGAATCACCATACCATTTTCTATACCTGCCCCTTTTACATTCCTACCAGCACTGTATAAAGATCCCAACAGTTGTCACATCCACTCCAACAGTTTTAATTTTCTTGTTTTTGTTTGCTTGTTTGTTTTCATAACAGCATTCTGATGGATGTGAAGTGGTATCTCACTGTGGTTTTGATTTGCATTTTCCTAATGATTAGTGATGTTGAGCACCTTTTCTTGTGCTTGTTGGCATTTGTGTATCTTCTTTGGAGTAATATCTATTTAAGTCCTTTGCCCATTGTTTAATCAGGTTGTTTTTGTTGTTGAATTGCAGGAGTACTTTATATGTTCTTGATATCAATTGCTTATCAGATATATGATTTGAAAATATTTTCTTCCATTCCATGGGTTGCTTTTCACTGTTGATAGTGTTCTTTGATGCATAAAACCTCTTAATTTTGATGAAGTTCAATTTATTTTTTCTTTTGTTGCCTGTGATTTTGGTGGGATATCCAGGAAATCATTGCCAAATGCAATGAAAGTGTTCTCAAATGTTTCTTCTAGCTCTTACATTTAAGTCTTTAATCCATTTTGAGATAATTTTGTATATGCTGTAAGATAAATGTTCAACTTCATTCTTTTGCATATGGATACCCAATTTTTCTAGCATTATTAGCTGAAAAGACTATCTTTTCTTCATTGAATGGTATTGGTACCCTTGTGGTAAATCGTTTGACCTTGCAAGTGTTTATTTCTGGGCTCTCTACTCCATTGGTCTACACTTCTGTATGCCAGTACTACATTGCTTTGATTACCATAGATTTTAGGAAATTTTTTAATCAAAAAGTATAGGACGTTTTTGTTGTTCTTTTTCAAGAATGTTTTGGTTATTTGGGGGTTCTTGAGATTACATATGATTTTAGGATGGATTTTTCTGTTTCGGGGGAAAAAAAGTTGGGATTTTGATAAGGATTGTCACTTGGGGTAGTAGTGACATCTTAACAATATTAAGCCTTCTAACCCGTTAACATGGATATCTTTCCATTTATTTGTACGTGCGGGGGGGGTATTTCTTTCAGCAATGTTTTGTAGTTTCAATATACAAGTCTTTCACCTCCTTGGTTAAGATTGTTTCTAAATATTTTATTCTTTTTGATGCTATTGTAAATGGAATTTTTTAAAATTTCCTTTCCAGATTGTTTGTTGTTAGTATACAGAAACACAACTGGTTTTTGTGTGTTGATTTTGTATCCTTCTGAATTTAATTAGTTCTAACAGCGTTTTTGTGGAAACTTCCAGTACTCTGTTGAATCAAGTGGTGAAAAGTAGGCTTCCTTGTCTTGACATGGAGAGATTCTTGAAGGAGTTTGTTTGGGGAGGTAAAAATCTTCTCTCCCACCTATGACACTACACTACTACTTCCTACTTACCACAGGGGTTAAACTATTTGAAGATCTATAGCCCTACTGCCCAGAAGTATAGATCCCCAAATCTGAGTTATTTAGACTGGAATAGTGTCCCAACCAGTAGATGTCTTTGGAAGGATAGTTAATAGTAACCTATGATGCTAAAATCTTAAAGAGTTCTTACCAACCACCCCCTCCCCAACACCATGCATTTCAAAGAGATCACTTGGAGGTTTCTCTATCAGTGAGTGGCAGGCTTGCTTGTTTATTTTTCTCATTGTCCAGAAAATAATTATTAAAAAACACACATATTTTCCACAGACAAAATTAATTCTTTGAAACAGTTTGAACTATAGTTTAAACTAGGTAACATAAACTCAAGTGCTTAGGGGCAATCAGAAATAAATGAAATGGGAATATTAAGAAAAATAGGGAATGGTAAAGATTACAGACAAATGTTTATAGCCATAAGTGAGTAAGAGTCCAGGGTTGCCAAGTCTTCCACGTTTGCAAGAGAGATTGGAAATCAAGATTTTTATGTAAGTTGTCTGGATTTTTAGCACAGTTCAGACTTAACATAAAAGCCAATTTTAAATTATTGATGTAAAAGAAAAAAAGAAATATATAGTGTTTTCTTGACTGCCCCATAATTTGCAAGACTGCTTCTTTCACCAATGAATTAGTTCTTCACATTACAGAAAATAAGGTAGCTTTTAAGAAAAGACTTTTTCCACAGCAGCTTGGGAGACTGAAAGTTAGAAAGAGCTTCATTGCAGAAACTTCTCTTTGACCTGGATAAAGTTCTGAAGTTACCACTTACATCTTTGTTTATTTAAATGTTTTGTCAAGGACTTTGTAAAATTTAAAATGTATTCTTTCTAAGTAAGTAAAATTTTTTAATATATTATATAATGCATTTGAAACTATTTTCTGTGTCGAGATTTTTTTAAACTTATTCCCTAATTCTGTTATCTTCATGTTTTAAATATAGAGCTTTTGAAGAGAAACGAAAAGAACAAGAAGAAAAAGAACACAGAATTAGAGAACAAATACTTCAACAGAGAAAACAGAAGTTTGAAGAAGTTACTGAAAAATTCCAGCGTGCCCACATTCCCCTTTCACAGCGGAGGAGAGCAGGTATCTTACTTGCTGGAAAAATATGAGAACAAAACGAAAGCTATAATCACCTTTGACTTGAGTAGGAAATAAAATAATAAAGGAACAAACTAGAAATTCAAACTAAAAAGACTACTATCCCCTTTTAAGTAGTAGGACTTTAACCAAGTGAAAAATTGCAATTTAATTTAGGTTTAATCTAGAGTATATTTTGTTGGTTGTATTAGTAAATCTTGAACTTTCACAAGTTCGATTCTACTTCATACTGGCTTACAATGTTTTGTTCTTTTTAAATTTAATCTAATAAATAGCTTAATAAAAGGAAAATTTAACATTTAGGTTTAATAAATTAGTATCACATTTATTCTGGCATTTATTCAGATTTTGCTTCAAATTCATATTTGAGAGACTGACAAAATAAAAAGAAAGTCTACAGAGTGATATAATCCAACAATCTAAGACCTGGAACCAATTAAGAATTTAAATATGATTGTGGTTGATTCTTTGGTATCCATCTACATTTTTTATACCTTAAATAGTAACACAGAATTAACAACAAAATGTTAAGGCTTCAAAAAGAAATGGGAGCCCAACCAGCATGGCTCAGTGGTTGAGCATCAACCTAGGATCCAGGAGATATAACAGTTTGATTCCCAGTGAGGGCACATGCCCAGGTTGCAGGCTTGATCCCCAGTAGGGGGCATACAGAAGGCAGCCAGTCAGTAACTCTCTCATCATTGGTGTTTCTTTTTCTCTCTCTCCCTCTCCCTTCCTCTCTCTGAAATCAATAAAGACTTTTTTTTAAAAAAAAACTTTAATAATAATAAATAAATTGTTAAAAGAGACAGGCAGCACCTTTATGTATTCACCAAACATATGTTGTACTATTTTGTGCTTATCCCTGGGCTAAGCAGAGATATAGAGAAATCTAATTGTACTCTACCACTGAAGATCTCACAGCTTATTTTGGAGATGAGAGTAATATAAACAATGTCAATAAATATAGTGATAATTGCTATAGTAGCAGAATGTATATAAAGTACTGTGAGAACACAGAGGAACAGACACTAAACCTGTAGGAACATCAAGGACATCATCCCTGGAAAAAGAACTTCATTTTAATCTTGAAAAATGAGCTTTTGCCAGGCAAAGAGAAAGTACCAAAAAAAAAAAAAAAAAAAAAAA